TCACATGCTCCGCAGATCCATGATGACTGGGATTTGGAACTTGATGGGGTATGCAAGGGAGAACCAGCACTAGTAGTAACGTTCGGTCCAGGGTTGGGTTCAGGAGAGTACGAATTTGCCAGGAGGATGCAGGCCAGATACAATAGTACCAGTTTTTGACGGCCTAAGGGCCTCTGAGTAGAGCATGATCGGGATGCTCTATGTAAAATGTCTATAAACACACAGTGAGCAGTACCAGCTATGCGGAAAACTGTCTTCCTACTGAAGTCCAAATTGTCAAATATAAGGCCTATTTCTGGTCTCTCGGCATCAAAAATGAACAATTTATTGACCAGAGCCGTTACCACAATTGTATATAGTGTAATATTGTATTTGAACATACCACAAGTCACTCCGTGTGTTTCAGTCTGAGAGCACACACAGCAATAGAGTTTTGCTACGCTTCAAGTAAGACAGGAAGTGGTAACAAAAATGGCGTCGAATATCAACAATGCAGTACAAACCCCGAAATCACATCATTAGCCAAGCATTTTGAAGACAGTGACTTTTGGCTCATCCCTTGACCAGCAATGGTGACATTTTAGATTATACATCACAGTTTGTTGAGGATTTACTTGACTAATAATGTCATAGTCAAAGAAATATTCCTCATAAAAAACATGTACACTAAACCCATCTAACCGGAAGTTCTCCCTTGTTATCCCTTGTTATCCCTTGTTATCCCTTGTTATCATATATTCTTCCTCCATGTGCTGACCAACGTGGCCTGCGCCGTTTTTCTATGAGCCACTATTGTGTGATCCTGGTATAATTCATACAAATCCTGCCGCCTTCTGTATTCTCCGTCTATTATCCCCACGAGTCGGTCCACACATTTTCTGAGGAAATTAAAGGTGAAACAAATCAATCATTCATGTTTAAATGTAATAATGTTTTGCGTATTCTTGATATACATATTCTGAACACAGTCGATACTGAAAATTCCCAGTGTGGATGAACACAGAATAAAATTCTTACGGAGTGAGTGCGCTCTTTCTGAAGCGATAGCGCCTACATTCAGGAACAGTTTGCCACAATCTTTAAGGCGATTAGAAAATGATCAAAAAAAATCATTTAAGAAACATTTAAAGACATTTTTTGTTTAAATAGATTTCAGAACACCAGAGCGCAGTGAACAAGCTAAAGTTGCAGGGGTGCCACCGCTATATAAATATCCAATCAATCAATCAATTAATCAATCAATCAAACAATCAATCAAACATTGAAAACGGAAATCTAAGTATACAACTGAACATTGAAAACTGACAATAAGTATACACTTGAACATAGAAAACTAACATATAAATATACATATATTTGTGGCCTTTTAATACAGGATGATGTCTAACATTTTGATCAGGAAAAAAAAAGGTGACCTTATTGGAATAACCTATATTTGGAACGGGTTTGATGTTATTTACGACGATGGGGTTGGTCGTTGTTACGACGAGGTTTCACAGCCCAAACTTGCGTATACATATATCAAATATTCATCAATCTGGTGTTCAAATAATCAACTCATGCAAACACCGTGCAACACTCAGATCACATCATAGACACACCGTGTAACACTCGGATCACATCATAGACGCACCGTGTAACACTCGGATCACATCATAGACGCACCGTGTAACACTCGGATCACATCATAGACGCACCGTGTAACACTCGGATCACATCATAGACGCACCTTGTAACACTCGGATCACATCATAGACGCACCGTGTAACACTCGGATCACATCATAGAAACGCCACGTAAAGCTCCGCCCTAGACTGATTGAAAAGAATGTATCTTTTTGGCTCACTCTAATTTAATTGTTTATGTTTTTACAAACCATTCTGTCCTTCAGACCCATTCGGACGTCTAAATTTGTCATTATTTAACAAACAATAAAGTCTCTTGTCAACAATGTTCACCGCAATAATGTGAGCGACCTTAGGCTCGAACGTGTGAAGAACGAACAAGAATGCGATTGTCTAAAGAAGAAATCATTGATGGTGTGGGTTTAAAGGAAACGATTACTTTGTGGGGATACAATAGTTAAAGGAATCGGTTACCCAATAGGATACACTACTTAAAATGAATCGATTATTTGATAAGAAACAATGAATTCTTATTCTCAAGATTAACATTACCAGACAGAGCATTATTGAATGCCATTTTTTTGTGAGGGACACTTTGTTGAGTGTGGCAAGATTAATTCTGCAACAAGTTACTTCATCAGCCAATACGATGTATAACAGAATGTGACAGTGTGGTTTTTTTTTCGTTTGTGATTGCACGCATTGTTTTGTATGTTAAACTTTCGTGTTCATCTTTGTTCTGTGAAAGTGGTGAATTAATTTGTACGAAAACCTTTGGAGAAGATTGTTTCATCAGCTGCGCAAATTAATAATAGCTAGACGACTTCACAAGAGGAGGAAAAAATCATGCCCTAAATTGATTTCATAATTTGTTGTGTTAAGCCTGAATTAAATTGCAGGGAAAATAAATCATCATCACCATCATGTCCCTTAGTCCTTGGACGGGGGGGCGCAACAGATGACATGTTATGCTCTTCCAATTAAATAAAATCCTAAAATTAACATGACCTTTTATGATCAAAATCACAAATAGTGGCAAGGGAAAAAAGCCTGTAATATTTCCCGGACGCTTAATTTACCTTGAATGAGTTTCAATGGTGTGAGGGGAAAAATACAGTTCATCAAAATTTTCTCGAATATAATATATTCTAATATTCTTAAAATTTCCTAACTTTGGCAGGATAATAAAATGTGATCATTCCAACTGATTTTTTTAGCATTACGATAATTTTTTTCTTTTGTGTGTACATTTGTCGTGGTTAGTTGTTGGATGCAGTCAGTGGAGTTTAAGACAATCAGATAAAAATGATAAATATCACAAAATAGCGCGTAAATCTGCAATCTAAGCATACATAAATAACACAAGTAAAAATACAATTCATCCAAATCAGCTTCATGCTATTTTTATCAGCTTCATGCTATTTTTTCCTCCAAAAGAAACCTCGCTGTTCATGATTTGTTCTTGTTCGCGTTTTGTCGGTGCGTGTTTTGGTGTGGAGATTATTCGTGCAGATGTTGCTACGTGCTTGGCACTTGTTACATATATGGGTATGGGAGACGACGATGTTTGTAGTTTTGGTTTGGTAGTAGTAATGGAGATGCAGAGAGAAAGCGCGTGGAAGAAGAGATGCTGTTTGTTTTTTTTTTTTGTTTTCAATAAAGAACCACATGTCACATTTGTTTTATGATTACCCAACCCATAGGCGTAACGAAGCTCTTGAACAGCTTATCTCTTAATAGCAGTTCGCATCGCTCACAGACAGAATAACTCTCCATCTAACCAAAAATATCTTGTTTATTTTTTAAACCCAAAACGATTTTAAATATCTAGATTTTAAATTTAATAAGAAATGGACACATCAAAGATAAACTAATCCAAACAATTTTTTCCTGGATGATGTGAAGAAAACGTATTTTTTTTTAAAATCGCTGTTTCAATCGCTGCGGTCTGTAGTTAAGATGGTTTAGATTTTCCGGATCCTATATCCGGGTAGTTGAAATATAAAATGAGTAAAACAAAGAAGGGTTAAGCCTGAAAATAAGGAACGCAACAAAACAACGAACGTGTCGGCAGGAAGCCTTCGCCAGAGAACAAAACAACAGAAAAAAACACAACAAAATTTTGAAAAATCGCACTTAGCTTAGAAGTAGTATCCGTAGTGCTTAGAAGTAGTATCCTTAGTGCTTAGAAGTAGTATCCGTAGTACTTAGAAGTAGTATCCGTAGTGCTTAGAAGTAGTATCCGTAGTGCTTAGAAGTAGTATCCGTAGTGCTTAGAAGTAGTATCCGTAGTGCTTAGAAGTAGTATCCGTAGTGCTTAGAAGTAGTATCCGTAGTGCTCTTCGTTAATTTACGGACAGTCCGTAAAATTGGACATGGGTGACAAAGAAGGCTCGTCAGTATTTTAGGATGTCCTTAAAAAAAAAAAAGAAGAACACAAGTTAAACAAAGAAGAGATCTGAGTCTTCTGCATTTCTTCATTGTTTCCTTAAAACTCGTTGATGATAATAAAAATCATCAGGAGAATCAAACAGTGATGAGAATGCCAATTTAAAAAAAAAACGTTTATTAAATAAGCTGGAGCCTCAAGATAACAGGGCATCGAGTCCTATCAAAAACATGTTCGAACGTGCTGCCTGTTGGAAATTTGTAAAAAGAAACGCGTTATAGTTTCAGCTAGTTGATTTTAAAGGTGCACGAAACAATAAATGGGTGTGTACGAAACAATAAATGGGTGTGTACGAAACAATAAATGGGTGTGTACGAAACAATAAATGGGTGTGTACGAAACAATAAACGGGTGTGTACGAAACAATAAATGGGTGTGTCCATACAAATAAATGTGTGTGTCCATAAAAAATTAATGTATGTGTCCATAAAAAATGAATGGTGTGCAAATGTAAATTTCTTAAGATTTATAATATTTGTCAGTATTTTTAATTTTATTTGGTGTGTTGGCTATTCGGTCCAATATATTTTATCACGATATGTCCAAAACTTTTTTTTTTCAATTTCATATCCGTATTTTAGTACAGTTGGGGAAATGGAATTCTATAATAAATTGATTTTCTTTCTAGATAGATTAAACTCAATCTCTAGCATGCAACTTTATCAAAGAATACTTAATTTCTAGAAAGTTAAAAACTTGAAATAATTTCAATCGTTTCCTTCACTAATAATTCGTCTGTGTGTGTGTTTCCAGAAAATAATTTTTCAAGAAAGCTAAATATATATTAGCTTACAGTGTGTGTGTGTTCACACATTTACAGAATGTCAACGCTGTCCGCGGTCCTCAACGCGACAACGACAACTCCGACAACCGCAGCGTCTACAACGATTCTCTATTTCGAAAGCCTCGCGCAAGTTATTCTCATCCAGTGGAGCTTCCAGTTCGTGGTCGAGCCCATCATCTCGATCCCGGGCCTGGCGGGCAACATCCTTAGCTTGATCGTAATCTGTCAGCAGGGCCTTCACAAAAGCTCCAACATCCTTCTCGTCTCGCTGTCCATCTCCGACATCTCACACCTCCTGTGCATCAACAATATTCCTTACTTCTTGTACTACAGTCAAGGCTCCTACTTCGTCTACTCTCCGGACGTCAACATTGCGCTGTACCACTTAACGAAATTATCAGAGTTCTTTATTACCGTGGGAAAGCTGATGTCTTTGACGCTGATTGTTCTGATCACAACGGAGAGACTGATAGCGATATTCCTGCCCCTGAAGTTCAGCACGATCGTGACGCCATGGCGCACCTTGGTGTCTGTGTGCTGCCTTCTCGTCCTCCTCGCCACCATCACGGCGTACTTCATGTTCTACACGCAGCTCATCCAGGGCCCGCTCAGAGCGCGCATCTACGTCTCGAAACTCTATTACGCCGACAAGAGAGCGAACGTGTACGACACCCTTCAGGAATTCACCAACAACATCACGGGCATAGTTCCGCTGTGCTACGTTTCGGTCGGGTGCGCATTGATCGGGGTCAAGGTCAAGATGGCGTCACGAAAGCGTCTAGCGATGACTTCCAGTTCAGTTTACGTTAAAACTCCAGATGACAATACAACAGACCTGCTCAAATCCCGAGCGGGTCGCTCCATGACGAAAACCACACGGACTCTATTGTCAGTTTGCGTTCTCTATATCATCTGTGGTGGGGTCTCCTACCTACTACGGTACGTGAACATTGCGTTTGGGGAGTATGAGAGCATGAGGCTGGTCCTTCAAGAGGTCAACAAGACGGCAATGCTCATCAACAGCGCCGCCAATTTCGTCATATACGTGGTCACAAACAGAAATTTCCGAAACGGGTTTTTACAGATCTTCTCCTGTTGCAGGCAGACCAAGACAATTTTACCGTAGACAAAAGTAAAAGAAATAACAAAAAAAAAAAAAAAAAAAAAAAAAAAAAAAATTATTTTTTTTTTAAAAAAAAAAAAAAAAAAAAAAAAAAAAAATAAATTTCCGAAAAGGGTTTTTAAAAATCTTCCCCTGTTGAAGGAAAACAAAAAAAATTTTACCGAAAAAAAAAAAAAAAAAAAAAAAAAAAAAAAAAAAAAAAAAAAAAAAAAACCGAACTATATTTATTCCGAAGAGATCAAGCATGATTTTGGATTGATCATTTCTTTACACATGAAAATTTGACTTTAATTTAACTAATTTAATTGTTTTTTTAAATCAAGATTTTAAATTATTTTTAACTAGTTTATCAGTGAGTTTTGTCCACTGAAGACATTCTACCAGAAGAAGACAAATCCGGAGAACCACTTGTCGGCTTGAAGAAATGACAAAATGCAAAGATCTGTTGTGACATTGATGTTCAGTCATCAATCACTCGAACCACTGCACAGAGACCTCGATTCACCAAGTTACCTTGTCACCGAGATAGTGCACTACCCTAGATATTCTTGAACTTTATAAATCCACATTCATATTTCTTCATTCAACTTGAACACAAATTTTACTAGTTGCTTTGATCATTAGTTTTGTTGCTGATAACTTTTTTAAATCAAGAATTTCGCCAAGAAGTAAAAATAAAAGAAAAAGAAATTACTATAATATGTTAGTATTTAAGTTTCTATATTCATGGTCTTACAAAAGGTAAATGGGTCTGCTACTTGCCCAAACCAAGTACAATAAAAAATATTATTTGTTACACTTTTTCTATATGTTCTATTGGCTATCATAAATTTCAAGACAACGTCTCAATGGGATAATATATATTTAGTAGAGAGTGTTAAAAATCACTTCTAGCAAAATAGTATAACTTAGAGAAAAAAAAACAAAAAAAACATCGAAGGTGTGGGAATAAGAAGATGATATTAATTGAATATCAGAGTAAACAACCGGTTCGAAAAAAAAAAATAGCCAAAATGTACACACTGGCTCAACCTAACCGAATAAACCGGTTATATCACATCACTCTCTCTGACAAATAATTGCAGGAAGTGCGGGAACATGTTGCACGGGGACATCAGAAAAGTGAAAAAAACACAACTAAAAAAAAAACTTATGTTAAGCCGACCCCTAACTTAAACCCTCATTAAACTTTCACTGGCAACGATTTAGTGGTATGTACTTTCCCCATCCTCCTCCCCCCAATCTCCCACACTTCGATGACGAAAGGTCTCCCCTCTAAAGGTCTTAAATTATTCCCTTCAAAAAAAGATGTGTCCGCTACTAATCTCTTTCTGATTCCCCTGTCTTCCGGTTATTTGGACTTGAATTTCACATCTTTTAAAAAAAAAACCTCTCCCCCCCACACACACAAAAATACCCCCCCCCCACACATCATCAATCCAGTCCCGGTCTTTAGGCCTTTACATCATTGGTGGGGAAAAAGGACATTTAAAAAACTCATTTTGCCCCCACTCCGCCAAGCTTACCTTCCAACACAAGAGTCAATGTCACTCTTCAGGCTACGTTATATTTAACTCACCATCGCATGAGCGGACTCAATATTTTATCGGAACTAATAAATTCTTATGCACAGAAAGTGACGTATTAGCTAGGGTTTTTGCTGTGCCTCCCCTTGCACGAAAAAAAAACAAACAACCAGTGTAATTTGCAGAAAGAATCACCCCTCCCATATAAAGAAAAAGTGCCATCTGGAGTATACCACACTATTTTCTCAACCCCAGAGGCGTAGCGAGGGGGGAGCAGGGGGACAGATGTCCCCGGGCGCAAGCTAGTTAGGGGCGCCAAAATTGGCTTTTATATTATATTATTGGTGAAAATAATGGGTTTGAGAGTTGAAAAAAAGAAAAGGGGGCGCTTTAAAATGGTTCGTGTCCCCGGGCGCGAATCTTGTTCCCGGGCGCCAAACACCCTGGCTAAGCCTCTACTCAACCCTCTCCCTTCGCTACAGTATATACATATTCTATCAGAGCTGAAACATTGAGAAATATAAAAAGACAACAAAAAAAAACAACATACAGCACACTTCGTTCATTGCAAGATTCACAGGTACGACACGTCAATCATTAATTTTTTTTTAAAGGTTGATTACTTCCGCTGTACACTAAAGTCTCATGTGTCATTGTTACAAAAACTATACGGTAGGAGGATTGATCTCCCCTGTCGTCCGGTCCACCTCCTTTCGCAACCACTGCCCGTGTACTGGCAAGTAGAGTCAATGGCAGTTTAGGAGTCGAGCTTGCCAGCTGACAGGTCAGTTAATTTATAGTCAACCGCATTTAGTTTATCTTGCCGTGCTAGTTTGTGGAACATGTTTATTTAATGAAAACTAGAGAAGAATGCCTTGTGCAATGGTGCAACACAGACTGTTCGACCCGGGTTTTAAGAAGCGTGTGTTAAAAATAATCAAAGTGTTTAAACGTTTTTCATAAGTCAAGAATTACAAAGAATGTATGGAGAAACAAAGTACTGAGACGACCGATGAGAAAAGATTATAAGGAAACTATGTACTTAGACGACTAACGAGATACTATTATAAGTAAACAAAGTACCGAGATGACTTAAGCTATAAGCGTATATAGGAAAACAAAGTACCGAAACAACTTACGATATATTTGCAACATACCACTCGGAAACAAAAATCTCTTATATATTTTTTCTTCTGTTGTGTCCTGCTTCCTCTTCACAGTCGCCCCCCCCCCCCCCCCCCCCCCCGCCAACTCATTTTTATGAAAATCAGAAGAATAACAGAATATTCCATGGAAGAGACAATTCAAGAGCTTCTAACTTCAGCTTCCGACATGATTGAGTAGTTCCACAAGAAGCGTGACGTAGCCGTAATCCCTAGAAATGATGTGGGGCAGCCTCAGTGGAATCATTAATTGGGTTAAACAATTTTTTTTTTCTGAACTTGACTTCTGTGTCTGGATCAGAGGACTGTTGTATCAAACGGAGTGTCCTCAACTTGGTCACTGTGGAATCATTTTCGTTTTTTTTTTCCTTTTCTTGTTTGGGAATTCAGCAATGAAGTTTGATGATCAGCTTGACAATTCCAGAACTGCTGGCCACTTATTGTGGACATAATTCAGTTCACATACCGATGAATTCATATTGATCAGTTTAGTATAGCAATATGCACCTTTCCAGCTTGAAGAATATGGTTGCGGCGTTCAATCAGGGTTAGTACATTCATACAAACCATTGCAATGATGAAACAATCATAAGAAGATTGTCATTTAACGCTCCCTTTACATCTGTAAATGCATTCGGGATAAAATTTACACGTGGAAACCTCAATCACAGCTTTAATTATTCTAGACAAGTTATAGTAGAAATTTGGAACACTATCAAATGTTTTTCAGTCCAACGATTCACAGAAAGTCCACGTAGGGAATCAGCACCAATCATTTGCCTTTAGTGTTTCCCAACGCTTTCGACTTGCTGAAAATATAGTGCAAACAGTTTGAACAACTTCTAAATATTTCTCATCAACAGTACAGTTTGACGATGCGTTCAATCCACATAAATTCAATGAGTGACTTTTACGGAATGGGAAGATAGTCAGTGTCTGTCGCATGAGAGGAATAGCCTGACTTCCTTTTATATTTGCCTTCTCTGTCTGTACCTTTGCTATATCTTTGACCTCGGCAATCCACAAGTTGATTTCGCAATACTTCAAAAGTATTCGGCCACACCATAATCCTTTTTCACATATTGAGATTGCAGCGCAGCAAAAGTGATCTACATGCAGAAACCTGGAAGCAACTGACAAAATATCTGCAGAGGCGGTACTGAGCACGAAGCTCTTGACCGGGGAAGCCTGGAAGCAGACGACTCACCGGTGGACCAAAACTGAGATGGATCGACGATATAGAGAAAGATTTACATCAGTTGAGGTTTCGCGCATGGAGGTGGAAAGCCATGGATCATCCGAATAGAAGGATGTAGTGAAGCAGGTCAATGCCCTACATGGGTTGTAACGCCACTGATGCTGATGATGAGATCCTTTTTTTTTTTTGTTGAATAACCAGCGATTGTTAACATCTTTCCTCTGTGGGAAAACTGTCCAGTTTTGGGTTCTGCAAACACATATACTGCACAAAAAAATGAGGTTAGTTCAGAGTGGCTCACACGAGACTCAAACTTTATTGAAAAATATTTGTCTGATAATTATTTACAGTCAATTTTCTTACGAACTTAAATATAATACATTAATTTTGAAACCGATTATACAAAAATTGGGCTTGAAACCGTTCATCATTTTTGTGTGACTGCTGAATCTTCATCACATGCTCTTTTAGAAGATTGCTATTGTGGGGGAGTGGTCTCCAATTTAAAGGAACGGAATACAATCGAAAAGCCAATGCACTTTCACTTTAAAAAAAATAAATTAAACCCACCATTAGTTCCTTAATTTTTCTCCATTTTGTGGCTTTACTTAAGATTGTATCAACTATAATAGACGATCCAACATATCGGTTTGTCTAGACCGTGATCTCAAATTCACGCCACTTGATGTAGCACTCTTCACAGGACGTAAGGACAAAGAACAAAACAGTTCTCAAAGGAGTCTAACACTTGCGCACCCACAATCGCTACTGAAGAGCAACTGCGCTCTAACACAGCCACACACACCTCTAACACAGCCACACACAAAGCCACACACACACACACAGACGAATATACGTGTCGATATTGAACACCATGTCTACATCTCATCTTGACCGATGGAAATAAGTGAGATATGGACGAGGAAAAAAACAGTACCGGTACGAAGTTCAGTACAAAAGGATACGAAAAATAAATTCCGCAGTTGGGAGGGTCCCCATACCGTGTGGGCAGGACCCCGAGTGATTTCTCGGTTGCCTCGACCTCTGCCTAGCCCTGGGTTGGCCTATAATGAATGATCTGAATCGGACAACAATTTCTCAAACCGAATGATGTTA